ATATATATATATATATATATATATATATCATATTAATGAGCCTTTAATTGCCTATAGCCTAATAAGCGGTAGTGGATGTACCTGTATGCAGTTTCATACAGATTACATAATCAGAGAATATTTGTTTTCCATTTAAATGTGAAATTCACTCTCCATAGATATATTTCTCATGCAAGGCAAGCATACACAGAGTTTGAGAGTTTCGCGCTCAAGTTCACAGAGACAGAGACGGCAGAAAGCGCACACTGTTTGCTTTCATTATTTTACAAAAGCGCAACATTTCGTTGTTATTCTGAGTGCACACAAATAAACGTAGAGTCTTTACAGATTCGAAAGATGTATTACTTTTATCTGTATGACCAAAGTATGAACACGTGAGCGCACCGGCGCCTCAGACACTTGAATAACGCACATTGTTCTAGATTAACATTAGATTGAGCAGCCAGGTAAAGTTGCTACTACATACATATTTCAGATGATAAGCCATATTTGAGGTTGATTATGATAGGAGAGCATTTGATGTACTGTATTACCACACAGACCAGCTGTTAATAATCTGTCCGTCACGGACTGCGTGACTTTGCCTCTTCCTGTGGATTTATTTTTTCTGCGACTAATAAAATATAGGTCGACCAAGCCTCTTCTCGTCGACTAACAGTAAGTCAACTATTAGGGGGCAGCCCTATTTATTTCCACAACTTTTTGCCAGCATGATCTGAATATGATCTGAGCCAATTTTGGTGAAAATCAGACAAACAGTCTAGGACGAGTTTGAAAAAGCAATTTTTTTGAACTATTAAAAACAGTAAAAAAATTAAATCTTACGATTTTTTAATTTTGGTGTCCATTCGACTCGGCATGAGCCAAGGATTCAGAGGAAAACAATACATTTCCTTCTAGACCTAAACATGAGTGAAATTTTGGACAAGTGGTGGCGCTAGAGGGTTGGAGTTAGAGACTCCAAACTTGCTGTGGTTAATGTTGAGACTGTCCTCTATCAGTGCGCCAAATTTCATAACTTTCCCGCAAGCAGTTCTATGGCTGCCATAGACTTCCAGAGCGGAAGAAGAAGAAGAAGAACGCCAACGGATACAATAATAATACAACTTATTATAACATTATTTTAAGGAACATATATTTTTTGTTTTTGTTTCAGTAATTTTAAAACGTTTCATTTCATTTGATTACTTTAAAAACTAAACATTTTGCAGGGCACTATTATTTTTAAAACTTTAATAAACTATTCAGTTGTATACGTTTCGTGAATTCAATTGATTAATCATCCTTTTAGATTAATAAAATTTAATAAAACCATTAAGACTTTTAAAAATTAAAATGGAAAACACAGAATTCAGGAAAAAATAAAACATTTGATAAGGCTCTAGAAGTGCTATTGGAGATTCTTGAGGATACAGCAGCACTGTCACTAACCTGTTCCGCCAGCGCCGGTCTGCACCTGCACAGGTAACGCTGCAGGGATGGGCACCAGCTGGATCATCTGGCCGTTAAACTGACACATGTTCACCCCCGTCATACCTGCGACCGGCTGCAGAACCACCTGCTGCCCCGGCGGAAGAGCAGAAGCCGGGAGAACCGTCTCAGCGCCGGAGAGGGGCGGGGCTACAGTGTTTGAGCCACGCCCAGGGTTACGTGATGATGTGGGGTTCAAAGCTGCAGGAATACATCTGATGCCATTAGGAGCCCAGGGCATCACCGGAGATCGGGTAATGGGCATTTTGAATGAATGAGCTTGGCTCACTAAACAAAACAAAGTAAAAGTAGTTTACAGATGATATATACAGTACAGTGGTGGCCAAAATGATTAGAACACTAGTATTTTCAGCAGCTAAAATGGTTTTAAGGCAGTTATTTCTAATTTTTAGTTTCTGAATGAATCCCCATCTTTGAACGAATTGAGTGAGTTAATGATTCAGTGACTCATTTGTATAGAGTCACTAGCTGCATCCGAAATCGCATACTTCCATACTATATAGTATTCGAAAAACAGTAGGCGAGAAGTACCTGGATGACCTACTACTTCCGCCCGAATTCCGTAGCATGCATACGATGGACACTTTACTATCCCATGAGGCCACGCGAGAGGAGGCGCCATATTCGAGAACGCCAGAAGGCGGCGACGCAGCTCTCTTCAAGTGTAAGTACCTCAGGGAAAAACGTTGTTCACTGTGGTTAAATTGCACTTGTTTAACATGATCTAAGTGAACGGCTGACTTATTGAAAGTTTAAACATTGTAAGTCGATGAGATGATTTCGTGAGTCGGCTGTAAAAAGATGTTTAATCGCCGATGAAAGTGGTAAGAATTACGTGAAACACTGCTGATGTTCGCAGTAGTGAGGGCTCTTTAAAGTTAGGCGCTGTTGTGGAGACGCATGTCACGTGACAACGTCAACATGGCGGATGTAGTACGTCCGAATTCCATTCATACTACTCGCATTCATACTATATAGAACGTACTTTTTTAACGGTCGAGTAGTACGTTCAAATTCAAAAGTATGCGATTTCGGACGCACCCACTTGCTTTGTTTCTGAAAGAAACAGTCATTTAAACGAATCAGCTGAATGAATGACTCACTAAATAAGACTGTGACTCGCCGCCACCTACTGACACTTACAGTTTCACATTTAGATTATCATATCATGTGTAATTAATTTTAGATGAATTTGATTAATTAATCGGCACATCATGTAATTAATTAGATAATAAATTTAAATCGCTATGCCTACATTAGGGTTCAGCGTCTCTTGTTCTGACAGATGGTACCTGTGTGTTTTGAAGGATCAGTCGCTGGGGCAGAGTTTGCACCCCTCGTCTCTCTGAGCGTCCTGACCTGGAGTGTTTTGGAAAGCGATCGGCTCATGTTTTGAGGCAGTGGTTTTATTCTGCCAGTGACGTACGCTGCCAGACGATTGGCTGGATGCAGCGCTCCCATCCGGCCCAGGATCAGTTTCGCCTGAGCGTACGTTTTTCCATTGACCTGAAATCAAGGGAGAGAGGTTTATGCTCAACAATCTGAGATCAGACACTATTCACAGTAGAGCTAAACGATTCTGGATAAATTGAGAATGACGATTTTTTTTAGATCACGATTCTGAACCAAAAATAATGTGTGACAAAGTATTATTGCTGCTGTCTATTTAAAAGAGTTTAATTAATCTGAATGAATTATTAAACATTTTAATATATACGTATTTAAAATATATTTAATACACCAATTTTTTATATTAAACTTATGAAAAAGTGATTTAAATGAATGATTCAATGACTTGTTTTTCATTACTGGCGTTTTTTAACAAATCTCTTGAATGAACGATTCAATGAAGAATACATTTTTAACAGTCATTTTTCGCCACCTAGTGGTAATGCAATCGACAAACGTTATTTAAATCCTAATATAATCATGACAAACTATATATCATTGGAAAGGTCCGAGTCTCAAGATTCCATATTTGGTGGTTATTTTGTGATAGACGTAATTTGGGTGGCACCCATCAATGAAGAATACATTTTTAACAGTCATTTTTCGCCACCTAGTGGTAATGCAATCGACAAACGTTATTTAAATCCTAATATAATCATGACAAACTATATATCATTGGAAAGGTCCGAGTCTCAAGATTCCATATTTGGTGGTTATTTTGTGATAGACGTAATTTGGGTGGCACCCAGTGGCTGTTTTTGGTATAACGCCTAAACAAAATTGCATATGAACCTCATTTTTTTAATATCAACTTCAAATTTGGAACACAACTTATGTAGACATATGGCTTTAATTTTATAGCAATTTTGTATTTTTAACTATTTTTTAAAATATTTATTTTATATAAAATAAAATAAAAATTGCACATTACATTTTCTTTTCCCAGTTACTTTTAAAAGGGGATTTGCTCTATTTTGATTGCTTCCATAGACATCAATCTTTATATGCGAACTATAAACTTTCATCCCAGTATTTCTGTGAGAATACGAATGACTGTAAGACAGAAACAACGTAGTAAAAGCGGTTTCTTTACCTTTATCGATCCGGAGCGCACTAGCGTCTTCTTGTCAGCCTTCAGAAGACCAGCGGGAACGACACGAGAGAGAAGAGGAAAGTGCTTCGCCTGTTTCTCATCAGGTGCGTTTGTCTGTATGATGTGCAGGTTCTCTTTAACATTCAGTCTGTTGACTTTCTGAGAGGAAGAGCTCCTCAGATGTGACGCATCGTCTCGTTTCTTCACACTCTTCCTCGGCTCACAAGTCTTTTCTGGCGTCTGGCCGAGGGACACGCAGACCTTGTAAATCAACGTGGATCCGCTCTCGTCTTTCTTCAGATCTCTGGAGAGTAGCTCCACTTTGTAGATGTCGATGTAGAAAACCGAAGCGAGGTGGTTCATGTCGATGCAGCGGAAGAGTTCCTTGAGCACCAGGGACCGATGGGTTTCCCAGTTACACCCCGAGATGATTTCCAGCACTTTAGTGGGCTCCGGCTCTCCCGCCTCACAGCTCTCGCCTGTAAACACACAGGAGGAACAAAACATGAACAACTGTACATGTGACCCTGGAGCACAGACCCAGTCCTGAGGGTCAGTTTTTGGAAATCGAGATTTCTACATCATCTGGAAGCTGAATAAATAAGCTCTCCATTGATGTGACAGCAGGTATATTAAAAGCTGCTGTCACTTTCATACCAAATGCAACAAATGTTAATGTTAACTAATTATTAATCATTGTTAATGTTAACAACAAAAGACAAAATCACTCACTGCTCTTGACTAATAACTTTTGTAACATTATTTTTAAGGATGAATCTGTTTTTGATTTACAGTTTATTGAATTTCTGCACCTGAATACTACTGTTTTCCACCAAAACGGTTTCCAAAATGAAATCCAGGTCTTGAGTGTAATTGATAATACTGGCTAAACAAAACTTGATATGTGATTATGTAACTTATGTTCTTTGCATGAAGTAACGTCTGGCACAGTCACAAAAAAAAAAGAACGCAAACAAATAGCATTAATAATCATTAATTTTCATTAGACTATGCTATGATAAATCTGAACATTTGTGTAAAATAATGGAGCATTATATTCTACAGAATTACACCATAACTTTGAAAGGGTTATTTTAGAATACAGCGTTTCTGCAGGTTTTGTTCATTCTGCATCTGCAGTAAATGCTTCTTGATTTAAGGATGTTTAGATATTTGTACTGGAAAACAAGACAGAAATACTGAGGAAGATCTTGATTTATTTTTTGCAGCGCATGCAACATTTAATGCCATGACTTTATAAATATATGACTTTCTGCTCTAATTTAAAGGGGTCCTATTATGCTTTTTTACTTTTTAAATTTTAGTCAGTGTGTAGTGTGTATGTTTGGGCATTAAAAAGATCTAGAAAGTTACAAATATCAAAGTCCACTCCAAAGGGAGATATTTCGTTTAAAAAAAAATCCATTTTCAAAAACTACAACGAACGGCACGTTTGGACTACAGCGTTTGGTTTCCGGCTCATTAGAATATCATTAAAAATAATTCCCGCCTACAGAAATGTGAATGGTTGGGGAGGGGCGAGGTTGTGATTCGAACGCTTGGTTGAGTGAGCGCATCAGACGAGATGATGAAGAAGAAGTGCTGCTGCAGAGTTAGTGCATCAGAGAAAACCAAGAAGAAGAGCTGCTGCAGAGTTAGTGCGGGAGAGAGGTTTATGCTCAACAATCTGAGATCAGACACTATTCACAGTAGAGCTAAACGATTCTGGATAAATTGAGAATGACGATTTTTTTTAGATCACGATTCTGAACCAAAAATAATGTGTGACAAAGTATTATTGCTGCTGTCTATTTAAAAGAGTTTAATTAATCTGAATGAATTATTAAACATTTTAATATATACGTATTTAAAATATATTTAATACACCAATTTTTTATATTAAACTTATGAAAAAGTGATTTAAATGAATGATTCAATGACTTGTTTTTCATTACTGGCGTTTTTTAACAAATCTCTTGAATGAACGATTCAATGAAGAATACATTTTTAACAGTCATTTTTCGCCACCTAGTGGTAATGCAATCGACAAACGTTATTTAAATCCTAATATAATCATGACAAACTATATATCATTGGAAAGGTCCGAGTCTCAAGATTCCATATTTGGTGGTTATTTTGTGATAGACGTAATTTGGGTGGCACCCAGTGGCTGTTTTTGGTATAACGCCTAAACAAAATTGCATATGAACCTCATTTTTTTAATATCAACTTCAAATTTGGAACACAACTTATGTAGACATATGGCTTTAATTTTATAGCAATTTTGTATTTTTAACTATTTTTTTTAAATATTTATTTTATATAAAATAAAATAAAAATTGCACATTACATTTTCTTTTCCCAGTTACTTTTAAAAGGGGATTTGCTCTATTTTGATTGCTTCCATAGACATCAATCTTTATATGCGAACTATAAACTTCCCAGTATTTCTGTGAGAATACGAATGACTGTAAGACAGAAACAATGTAGTAAAAGCGGTTTCTTTACCTTTATCGATCCGGAGCGCACTAGCGTCTTCTTGTCAGCCTTCAGAAGACCAGCGGGAACGACACGAGAGAGAAGAGGAAAGTGCTTCGCCTGTTTCTCATCAGGTGCGTTTGTCTGTATGATGTGCAGGTTCTCTTTAACATTCAGTCTGTTGACTTTCTGAGAGGAAGAGCTCCTCAGATGTGACGCATCGTCTCGTTTCTTCACACTCTTCCTCGGCTCACAAGTCTTTTCTGGCGTCTGGCCGAGGGACACGCAGACCTTGTAAATCAACGTGGATCCGCTCTCGTCTTTCTTCAGATCTCTGGAGAGTAGCTCCACTTTGTAGATGTCGATGTAGAAAACCGAAGCGAGGTGGTTCATGTCGACGCAGCGGAAGAGTTCCTTGAGCACCAGGGACCGATGGGTTTCCCAGTTACACCCCGAGATGATTTCCAGCACTTTAGTGGGCTCCGGCTCTCCCGCCTCACAGCTCTCGCCTGTAAACACACAGGAGGAACAAAACATGAACAACTGTACATGTGACCCTGGAGCACAGACCCAGTCCTGAGGGTCAGTTTTTGGAAATCGAGATTTCTACATCATCTGGAAGCTGAATAAATAAGCTCTCCATTGATGTGACAGCAGGTATATTAAAAGCTGCTGTCACTTTCATACCAAATGCAACAAATGTTAATGTTAACTAATTATTAATCATTGTTAATGTTAACAACAAAAGACAAAATCACTCACTGCTCTTGACTAATAACTTTTGTAACATTATTTTTAAGGATGAATCTGTTTTTGATTTACAGTTTATTGAATTTCTGCACCTGAATACTACTGTTTTCCACCAAAACGGTTTCCAAAATGAAATCCAGGTCTTGAGTGTAATTGATAATACTGGCTAAACAAAACTTGACATGTGATTATGTAACTTATGTTCTTTGCATGAAGTAACGTCTGGCACAGTCACAAAAAAAAAAGAACGCAAACAAATAGCATTAATAATCATTAATTTTCATTAGACTATGCTATGATAAATCTGAACATTAGTGTAAAATAATGGAGCATTATATTCTACAGAATTACACCATAACTAAAAGCGGTTTCTTTACCTTTATCGATCCGGAGCGCACTAGCGTCTTCTTGTCAGCCTTCAGAAGACCAGCGGGAACGACACGAGAGAGAAGAGGAAAGTGCTTCGCCTGTTTCTCATCAGGTGCGTTTGTCTGTATGATGTGCAGGTTCTCTTTAACATTCAGTCTGTTGACTTTCTGAGAGGAAGAGCTCCTCAGATGTGACGCATCGTCTCGTTTCTTCACACTCTTCCTCGGCTCACAAGTCTTTTCTGGCGTCTGGCCGAGGGACACGCAGACCTTGTAAATCAACGTGGATCCGCTCTCGTCTTTCTTCAGATCTCTGGAGAGTAGCTCCACTTTGTAGATGTCGATGTAGAAAACCGAAGCGAGGTGGTTCATGTCGATGCAGCGGAAGAGTTCCTTGAGCACCAGGGACCGATGGGTTTCCCAGTTACACCCCGAGATGATTTCCAGCACTTTAGTGGGCTCCGGCTCTCCCGCCTCACAGCTCTCGCCTGTAAACACACAGGAGGAACAAAACATGAACAACTGTACATGTGACCCTGGAGCACAGACCCAGTCCTGAGGGTCAGTTTTTGGAAATCGAGATTTCTACATCATCTGGAAGCTGAATAAATAAGCTCTCCATTGATGTGACAGCAGGTATATTAAAAGCTGCTGTCACTTTCATACCAAATGCAACAAATGTTAATGTTAACTAATTATTAATCATTGTTAATGTTAACAACAAAAGACAAAATCACTCACTGCTCTTGACTAATAACTTTTGTAACATTATTTTTAAGGATGAATCTGTTTTTGATTTACAGTTTATTGAATTTCTGCACCTGAATACTACTGTTTTCCACCAAAACGGTTTCCAAAATGAAATCCAGGTCTTGAGTGTAATTGATAATACTGGCTAAACAAAACTTGATATGTGATTATGTAACTTATGTTCTTTGCATGAAGTAACGTCTGGCACAGTCACAAAAAAAAAAGAACGCAAACAAATAGCATTAATAATCATTAATTTTCATTAGACTATGCTATGATAAATCTGAACATTAGTGTAAAATAATGGAGCATTATATTCTACAGAATTACACCATAACTTTGAAAGGGTTATTTTAGAATACAGCGTTTCTGCAGGTTTTGTTCATTCTGCATCTGCAGTAAATGCTTCTTGATTTAAGGATGTTTAGATATTTGTACTGGAAAACAAGACAGAAATACTGAGGAAGATCTTGATTTATTTTTTGCAGCGCATGCAACATTTAATGCCATGACTTTATAAATATATGACTTTCTGCTCTAATTTAAAGGGGTCCTATTATGCTTTTTTACTTTTTAAATTTTAGTCAGTGTGTAGTGTGTATGTTTGGGCATTAAAAAGATCTAGAAAGTTACAAATATCAAAGTCCACTCCAAAGGGAGATATTTCGTTTAAAAAAAAATCCATTTTCAAAAACTACAACGAACGGCACGTTTGGACTACAGCGTTTGGTTTCCGGCTCATTAGAATATCATTAAAAATAATTCCCGCCTACAGAAATGTGAATGGTTGGGGAGGGGCGAGGTTGTGATTCGAACGCTTGGTTGAGTGAGCGCATCAGACGAGATGATGAAGAAGAAGTGCTGCTGCAGAGTTAGTGCATCAGAGAAAACCAAGAAGAAGAGCTGCTGCAGAGTTAGTGCGTCAGAGAAAACCAAGAAGAAGA